AAAAAAAAAAAAAGAAATAATTTGTTAAAAAGTAATCTTCTTCTTTTCTCCCTAGAGTCAAATATTTCATGGGGTCAGAGGAACAAATTCACTTACTGGGATGGGTCTGAATCACTTCCTTTGCGTTTTCTAGGAAGCTTTGTCACATGTGAACTGAAGGATCCCATAGCTGTTGGTTTTGTCCCTGGGCTCATATGACGTGAAACCACAGGAGAAACGTGCTGCCTCTCCTCTGTCAACATGTCACCTATGAGAGACAAAGCTCAATAAAACACTTACTTCAAACATTAACTTTTACTTTATATATATCCATATCACACAATTTAAATGACTTTTCTATCTTGATATTTTAAAAATACCAGCTAACAACAAAACATTTAAGAATGAAAGACTAATTATGTATACTCGATTAGAAATGATTTTGTTAGTCCATATTTTTAAGCTTATTTCCCCCACCTAATTGTAAAAAAAGATTTAATATTGTGTAAAATATGGAAAACACAAAAAAGTAGAAAGGAAGGGGAAAAATCAAATTTCACCAATGTTACTATTTTGAAATATTTCCTATTAGAATTTTTTCTACAGTTGTCATTAAAGTAATTGAAATCATATAGTCTGCTTTACTTATGTATCACTGTAACAGAGTAACTTTCCAGTGTTGTTATAAGTTCTTTATAAATGATTTTAATGGCTGTAAAATATACCATCATGTAGAGGTGTCATAGTTATTTAACTTCTATTGTTAGAACCTAAGTTTGCTTTTATTTTCTCACCATCACAAATATGTACTTTAATACATAAAGCTTTTTATCTACTTCTGGTTATTTTTTTTAAATAGAATGCTAGAAATGAGTTAACGAGGTCAAGGGACATGAATATTTTTAACCATGAATTGCTAAATATGACAGTAAAATTCTCTTTGTCTCAAGTGTGGTTTATTAAATGTTTTACAAAATATAAACATCAGAATCACCGACCAGAATAACCTATAGTCTAAACTTGTGCCTCCTTAAATAACTATATTTCTCATATTAAAATGTATATAACAAGTTTATACTCATTTGTACCTAATAACATAGATTGAAAATATATAATATTTACAAAGGAGAATTTAATAAATCTACAAAAGTGGGAGATTTTTAACACATCTCTACTGATAGATCAAGTATTCAAAAATAATGATATAGAAAATTAAATCTGCAAATGAACAAGCTTGATATAATAGACATACATGAACCACTATATTTAGCACCTTCAAAATCCAGTGTTGTTTATTTTTGGACATCCATGGGACATTTATAAAAATTAATAATATATTAGTCTAAAAAGAAATTCTCACCAATTTTGACAAACTCACACATAAAAACATTTACTGATTGTAATGATGCTAGAAACCAGTAACAAAGAAATAACCAGAAAATCCCTATATTTTTGGAAATTAAGAAATACACAAATAACTCATGAGATAAGAATTCAAATGTAAAATTACAAAACTTTTGGAAATAAATAATAATAAAAATATTATACATTAAAATGTGTGAAGATGCAAAAACATTTACTTAGAGGGAAATTTTAACCCTAAATGGTTTTTTAAAAATTGAAATTTAATGAGCTAATAATTCAAGATATTAGAAAAGGATCAGTAAAATAACTCCAAAGAATAAGAAGAAAAACATAAAGATAGGACCAGAAATAATGAAATAAAATATAAATACACAAAAGTGCAGATCAAAAAAGCTAAAGATATGTGCTTCCAAAAGCTTAGAAACTTTAACAAATTGATGGCAAGATTTTTCAAGGAAAAAAAAAGAAGGCACAAATAAAGATAGGAATGAACACGGGGTCACAATTTTAGATGTTCTAGAGATTAAAAAGATAAAATCTCATTGCTGTAGCTTTACTGAATTGTGTCCACCAAAGTCCATATATCAGAAGTTTAAATTCCCACTGTAACTGCTGAGGGTGGAAAATCCTATTACGGTAATTGAAAGGTGGGGCCTTGAAGAAGTGATTAGATTCTGAGGACCATGCCCTAGTGAATGAATTAAAAATGGTGGTCACAGGCATGGTTCTGAAGGCTTTAAAAAGGAGAGTGCAGGAGGAGCTCTCTCTGCTCTGCCCTTCTCACAGTGTGGTACCCTGCCATACCTGAAGCCACCGCCAAAGAAAGCTTTCACCAGGTGTGTTCCCTGGACTTTGGACTTCTGAGCCTCTGAAACTCAAAGCAATAAATTTTGGTTTTACAAATTGCCCAGTTCCATGTATTTTGTTACAAGCAACAGAAATGGACTAATACACTCATGAACAACGTTATGCTAAATATTTGAAAATTTAGATGGAATGGAAAAATTTCTAGAGAATTTTAAACTTACAAAAATTGAAGCAAAAAAAAAAAAAAAACCCTGAATATTCCTATATTCTTTCTTACGCAAACTATTCCGATGTATGGAAAAAGAGGGATTATATTGTCCCTCAACTTTTTTTAATGAGGCTTACATAATTTTGATATTAAAACCTGGCAATGACAGTACAATTAAGGAAAATTATATGCCAATCTTATTCATGAACAAAGATATAAAAATCTTACCAAAATATTAGCAAACAAAATTTTGAAACATATAAAAAGATTAATTCATCATGACCAAGAGTTTTATCCCAGGAATCAAGAGTGGTTTAATATTACTAAATTATTGAATATAATTTGCCA